ATTAAAACTGATCCACGAAAAGAGCTCAATGTATTTATTATAACAGAGCATATAAATTACGCAACAAAATCCCAAATTACCTCATATGGGTGTGTGTATATATATTTCGTACAATTAAGATACCATTAGTTAATGACCATTTTCAACTGTGAATTTAAAATTTGCAGGGTTTTTCAAACTGTTTATGGTGTCAGTTTAAATTTAAAATTCACAGGTAAAAAAAGGTCATTAACTAATGGTATTGTAATTCCAATTGTAGGAAAAATTTTGCTCTGTTTAATGAAAATAAACACTGAGCGCTCTTTGTGAGTCAGTTTTAACATATTTTAAATTCTATGTTGTGTTAATAGGACTTGCTCGGATTATACCAACGGATTACTACCTGTGTGTATATATATATATATATATATATATATATATATATATATATATATACACACACACGTATATAATTGGTATATACGGAATGAATTCCAATTACCAACAATTACTATTCTTAAAAGAGTGCTCAATACAAAGTAGAGCAGATATAATTATTATTTATAAAAATTATAACATAAGTATGTTATAAAATCACTACAAAAATAGCCATTTGTTTCAACACACTCTGTGTCTTATCAAGTGATGATGTTGAAAATAAAAAAATTTATTTTCAACATCATCACTTGATAAGACACAGTGTGTTGAAACAAAATGGCTATTTTTGTAGTGATTTTATAACATACTTATGTTATAATCTTTTTATAAATAATAATTATATATATATAATAGAGAGAGAGAAATATGACTAATTATATTTTGCAATAAAACCTAACAAAATAATAAATGAAAGGTTTTAATAACGCATTACATTAAGAACAAAATAGACAATAAACCTCCTTGGAGATGTCCAATAATTTATCTTTTTGTATTTTGTTTTGTTTTAGTTATAATAACAAAAGAAATTGTTAATTTACTGGATATAAATTAAGCCATTAGTAGCAGTGGAAATTTCTGTCATGTGCATTTGAGCTCTAATGACAACAATTACAGGAATTTCCATTCTCTGCAGATAATGGCTATACATTGCTTTTTACTAAAAATATTAACATTCCCTTTTGGGTGCTGACTCAGTTGAGAGCTGTATCACCAGTAAATCATGAGTGGTTTAAACATTAAACATAACAATAGTTTGTTTTTTTTTTGTTTTTTTTTAAATGTGGTTTTTGGGTCAGTGACATTTGAAGAGTGGATGCTGTAAGTTATACAGAGTACATTTTCTAAAAATTCTTTAATTAGTTTCAGTCAGGGATTGGTAAAAATTTATTTATTTATTTTTACAGATATTGACTACAGCATCTTTTGAATCAATACATCCTGGTTTAAATGAACAAGTTTAAAATTTTCTTGTCTAAAATTCTAATTCTAATGTAGGAATGAAATTAGTGTTACTACGTAGAGTTATAAGAATGTATTGCTGTTGACTTAGGGTTCTTAAAATATGTGTATGGAGTTCTCTATTAAAAATATTGGCTTTTGTTTTGATACTTGGTATTGTGAGCGCAGTTTGTTCACAAGCATCTTGGATTTGTTGCTACCTCAGCCTGAAAGGACAATCAAAGAGCAGGTCACTTTGTGGAAACATCACTGTGGGTTCTATGAAAAACTTTATTAGGAAAAAAAAAAGAAAAAATATAGCAACTCTCTAAAGATTGATAATATGACATGAACCCTAGAAAAGCCTGATATGTGCTGCACAAATCAAAATGTTTTAATGTAAGCAATAGAAATGACTATCAGTATTCAACTGTTTCAAAAACCTTTTTCTTTTTTTTTTTACCAAAACCTTTTGATAGGCTTTGGTTAAGTGTAAGATTTTGGGTTTACAATTAATGTCTCCCAATTATTTTCTTGATGAAAAATTTTCTTTCACTGCTTTTTTTTTTTTTTTTTTTGGTTATCAGTTTATTTTCTTCTGTGTGCCAGGAAGATGGCACATAGAAGAAGAGGAATATTTTACCTTTATGGTCAAAACTTTCATAAATTTTAACTTAAAAGATTTAGCTGTCTTTGATCAGAGTGAAAGGCCTACATCATTTAAATAATGAATATTTAATGCTGGGCTGCTTCTTGTAATTTAAGAGTTATTTTGAAATATAAGGAACAGATGCGCATTCATGCACAAAGTAGAGATATGTACAGCTGTCTGAAAGAAACTGATCTTTTTTTATTTGTAGAGCAAGAAGAAACATTTTTTTAAAATTGATTGAATGTATCAATGACATTCTTTTGTTTTATCAGCCAATGAAGGTTTATCGTTTTCCCAGCCAATGAAGGTTTATCATTTTCCCAGCCAGTGAAGGTTTATCGTTTTCCCAGCCAATGAAGGCTTATCGTTTTCCCAGCCAATGAAGGTTTATCGTTTTCCCAGCCAATGAAGGTTTATCATTTTCCCAGCCAATGAAGGTTTATCGTTTTCCCAGCCAGTGAAGGTTTATCGTTTTCCCAGCCAATGAAGGCTTATCGTTTTCCCAGCCAATGAAGGTTTATTTATCTCTGAACATAAATGGAACTGTAATATGGTTCTGGTGCAGAAACAGAATTTAATGCTTTCTGCATTGTTACTTCCAGGTACATTAAACTGACGGCTGAGAAAGTTGAATGATTGTATCTTTTCACTATTAATACTGTTTTCTTTTTTTGTCATCACAACACCATATATTGCAGGGTTTTTACTATCTTTCATTATCTTGCCTGTAAGGAAAGGAATAACTAATGTATAAGCTGGTTTTTAATTTATCTTTAGGGTTTGTGTTTATAGCTTCTTTTTTTTTTTTCTTTATTTATACAAATCTATATATTAAACCAATTGGTGGGAAAAACCCTACGATGCATGTTTCATCCTTTGGAAAACTTCAAGCTAATAATGATTTTACTGATGGAATCACACACACACACACACACAATAAATGTCAGGTACACTTTTACATTGAGAAATGTTGGAGTTACAGAGAACTTAGATTTAAATTTTCAGTGTACAGATGCATCACCTAACTTTATTGTCATTGTTTTTTAAATATTGCATTATATTGTTATAGCAGGTGTTTTGTTAGGAAATATGTTGTATGATGCTGGGCATAAATTTACTGGCGAAGATTCAGAAATTAGTGTACTTTCAATAGATTTTGCCTTAAAATATTTTCTTTGTTAATCAAGTTAAAATTATGTTCAGACATACTATGATGAACAACTGAGTGTATTGTTTCCTAAAATATCCATTTTCTGTTCATATAATCTTTTATTTTAAATTCCTAAATGTTTTGCCTGTTTTTTTTTGTTTTGTTTTTTTGGTGGGGGGGGGACATTTTTATGGTCTATTTTGTAAATTCCTGCTTTAGGTTTGAAGTTATTTTGTTTTGTGTTAATTAAATCTCTTATTGTTTTTGAAGTAATTGGGACAAATTTTATATTAAGTTTAAGTAAATTATTTTTAATCGTACTCATTAGTGTTGGTTTCTTTTTACTTATTCAGTCACCATTAATTATTTATTTATTAATTTAATTCAATCAATTTAAAACTCATGAACAAAAAAGTAACAACTATTTAGATTCTATCCCATCTTTGTTGTTATTGTGTTGATCTCTGCAATGAGGTAGCATATCTTTCTTTATTCAGAATAGCATTAGAAACACTGATTATGACAGAAGCAAATATTTATCTTCTTTGAATGAAATTCTAATAACAAGATGATCTAATTTGTACTTTTTATTTTTCTGGACTGCTTTCCTGATTCCATTGCAAGTTAAATAATATTGACATTTTTTACAATTTTCTTTCTCTCATTTTTTTTTTTTTTTTTTTTTTTTTTATACTAATCATGTAATTTATAATCAGTAATTAAAAAAAAAAATTTTACCCTAAGCAAGATAATAAAGCCACTAAGATGCAAGTTACTGAATGAGAGAATATGAGAAAAAGAAAACATTAAAGAGAGAGAGAGAGAAGAAACAGGAATTAAGAAGACAGATAACAATTGACAGTGAATTTAAATTTTTGAAGATCAATGTTGATTGGAAAGTAAGAAGCCAGAAGAGTTCCACAAGTGAGAAGTGTGATAGAAGAAACTGTTAACATAGAATTTAAGTTACAGCTAGCCATTTCAACTGTAATGTGATGAGACCTTGCTACCAATCTAGTAGCACATTTAAATTCATAAAGTCTAGGTACCCAAGAGGAAAATTCATTGGCATCAATACCAGGAAAGGCAGAGGAAAGCTGTTATAGCAGCAGGAAAGTGACTTAAGCTGAGGTGCCAGGTCAGGACCAATAACATTGCAGATTCATCTTTGTATTTTATCAAGAATCTCTAAATATATAGCACCTGATCTGATGTGACAGCAATATTAAAAGCATGGATGAATGGTACTTATAAACATGTAAGGTAGATTCTGGCAAGAAAAATTGTCTAGTAAAACAGTGTTAGCCAACTTTCCTAGCAGCAGACCTCACATTTGACTCAATATAATCTTTCCAATTCATGCCAGTGGAAAATGTTAGCTCAAAAAGTCACAAAGAGTCATTTACCTGAAGTCGAGCATCAACCAAGTTGATGGAAAGTAAAAAAGGTTGTTTCAGGCAATTAAAAGAGAGTAGCCCTGTTTTGGAGGCATTAAAAGTAACAAGCCATTTCTTGTGCCAGTTAATAACTGATTATAGGTAATTTTTGAAATCCAAATTGATCAGATATACCATTAAGTCAGGAGTAAATAGTTTTGTCATCAGCATAGGTACTGAGTTGATAACTGGTGACATCAATTAAAGTAGTGTTTTTTTTTTGTTTTTTTTTTTATATATATATAATAGTTAATTTATAATTGGTAATTACACTATTGTTAATTTTTGATAAAAATGTGTTGATACTTACTCAACCAAATTTGGTTTAGTCACCAAATGAAGAAAATATCTTTAGCAAAAATTATAATGTCATTTTTTTTTTTGTTGTTTTTCTTTTTTCTTTTAGGCGACAGGAAGAGGAGAGACTTCGTTTAGAGGAGGAGGAGCAGAGGCGCTTAGAGGAAGAATCCATACGACTCGCAGAAGAAGCTAGGAAAGCAGAGGAGGAGAGGCTTCGTAAAGCCATAGAAGCTGAAGAACAAAGAAAGAAAGAAGAAGCAGAACGTTTGGAAATAGAAAGAAAGCAGGCAAGTTTATTTTAGATTTTCTAATATGAAAAAGCACACCAATATGGCTCACTTTTGACACTTGCTATATTTATAGTCAATGTACGAGATTGTTTTATTAATTCATTGTTTTTTAGACTTGGTACCTATCATAGTACTTTGTGAATTGTTTTTGATGGTCACAGATGTTGTTTCTTGGAACGGTTCATATCAAGAAAACCTTTGCTTGTCAGATTTGTTAAGCATTTCACAGTTATTCTTCCTGTAATGGATATTGCCTATACCCCACCTCTCCTCTGGGGGGGGGGCATGAAAGAGGCACAAATTCATCTGTGCCATACACGGTCATGTAAGTTACCTAGTGTCTTAGGACTACTTAGATACCTGTAGGTGGGCATGAAAAAAAAATCTGCGTAACTAACCGAGGCATGCATAAAAGCCATCAGATTTTGTCTTTGGGAGAGAAGGATTAGGGGCTTTGAGGAATATGTTTGAACAAGCCAGCTATGAGGTCAAGGACAAAGACATGGCAGTGAGGAATGTGAAATGGATTACTTCAGCTATATTACTACACTTTCTAGATATTAATCTTATCTCTGACTCTTTGCTTTTTAATTGGCTTACATAATCCATATGCATGCAAGAGAACTTAAGAGTAAATCTCCAATCCAAATATATAAATTCTCAAAATACAGAGTCTCCAAAAATTCTGGACACATAGGCAAAAATGCATATTTTCAAGAAATGAAATTTTCAACAACATTTTATTGGATTGGAATATTAACAAATAACATCTTCAATATAATTTTCATCATTTGTGATGTAAAGGTTGATACACTTTGCAAGATTCACATGAACTTGATGCACTAACTCCACATTGCCATCAGTTTTAGCACATACACTTTTTATGCAATCAATCAATTTTCATTGAGTACACCTTCTCCTTTAGCAGACCACAGAAAAAGATGTCAGTTCTTTCTTCTTTCAACAAAACCACGTTTAATCTTTGGAGGTAAAATATAGTTAATGAGATTTTCCTGTGTGTCCAGACTTTAAGGACACCTTGTATAAATGGGGAAATTCTTGCTGGGTGCCATTTGTATTGATTCTTAATTTCCTTTGGTATTTAGTTGTAAATTGTTTGAAATGGTCTTCATAGTCTTTTGTAATCTTTTTATTTTAGTGTGATTCTTTGTTTTTTTGTAGAGTTTGTAAGCATTTTCCTTTTTAATGTCGACATATTAATTTGGAACACTAAATAGATTTAGTTAATTAAAAAGTATATAAAACAATTTGACTTCTGTAGATGCACAAATCAGTTTTAATTTTTATCAGTCATTTTTCTTCTCTAAAAGCATAACTTTTAACAAAAACCAGAGAATAAAATTTTATGCTTTAAGATCAAAGATTTTATCTCAAAGTTGGAAAAGATAACTGACTTTGCATTCAAAAAACTTAATTCCAATTTGAGTCACCTTTTAAAGTTCTTATATATTGCGATATCAATGAGTATTTAGCACACTGTAGATGACTATTTTTCGCTGAGCAAAATGTTAGTCCTGCCAATGCAAGTTGAATTGGAATCTCTTGGTTGTGTAGTCATATCCTTCTATGGCAACACCTAAAACAATCTTGACTGAAATTGAGAGCCAGGCTACTGCAAGTTCAAATATATAGAACTAATATCTAAAATACTATATTTTGAAGGGATTCCATATACAGTAAAAAGTGGGGGGGGAGTAATATTTATAAATGATGCAGAGTGCTAAATGTTAAAGATTGATTTGGTTTTGCTTAACATTTGTTTACTTATAGAAAGAAGAAAAATACTTTAAAAACATATCTACTTTTTGAAAGATTTTCAAGTTTTTCTTTTTTTTTATTGCAGATATTGTTTTTTTTTTTTAGTGTCTGAAAACTTTAAATTCAATCAGTCTATTTTCTCTATGTAGAAATATTATATAATCCTAACAAATATTTTCTTTTAATGGTTGGGATTAGCATCCGCTTTTAAGATAGGATAGAATGGAAACTGGTTAATCCATTTTAAACTCATTTTCTTGTAAAATGTAATCTGAAATTATTTATTCTACTTAGAATTGAAGAAGAGAAAGAGTTTTTCTTTTTAATTTGTAACAAAACAAAAAAAAAAAAAAAAATTAACCCCAGTCAGCAAAGGAAAAAAAGGTTGCAACACAACACAGAGAGGGACTAAATTCTGATGTTCTTAAAATGCTTGTGTAGATTACTTGGCCTTAGTAAAAAAAATACTGATACTTTGTTGCTTATTTATAATTATATGGACTTCAGTTTATTTTGTTGTCTTCGTGTTCATCCATA